GACACCGGCGGGCCGGGCCAGGGTGCAGGTCAGGGGTCTTTGGGCGCCGACGCTAACCGGGGTCACGCCTTCCCAGTTCCTGGCAGCGCTGGGCCAGGATCCCAGGGAAGGGCCCCGGCAATGAGCTCATTGACCGCGCCAGCCGGCTGCATTAGCGATGGACACAGGCGGGGCCGGAGGAGGGAAGCATACCGGAATACAGGGCTTGGAGATGGTTATTTGGGAAAGGTTTTTGCTGTTTTATAAGCCTTCGATAACTCTTGGGTTTTGACTGTCTTTAGAACCACCTCCAAAGCCGCACAGAGAAATCCGGCTCATTTATTTATAAACAGGTGCTCTAGTTAGATATCATTTGCTCATTTGTAATCTCATTGGGTGGGGTGACGTTTAAGCACTCTGGCATTCACGGCCTTCTGTAATCCTCTTGCCGACCTTGTGAAGATACTTGGTAGTATCATTCCTGTTTTTTTAAAAATATGTCTTTATTGATTTCAGACAGGAAGGGAGAGGGATAGGAACATCAAGGATGAGAATCATTGGTCGGCTGCCTCCCGCACGACCCCCTTGGGGATGGAGCCGTAACCCGGGCATGTGCCCTTGACCGGAATGGAGCCTGGACCCTCCAGTCTAAACCAGCTAGGGTGTATCAGTCCTGTTTATAGACTCGGCCCTTCGGTTGTGACGTCTAGCTTCATCAAACTTGGTTCTAAGGGACTTCATTGTTTACAAAACATTCCAAAGATGTGCCATGGATTCTCAAGGAATTTACGAATTAGCCCCCCAAAATGCTTCTGGTAATGGAAGCATAATTTGAACAATCTTGAGTTCACAAGGTGACTACAGGGTGTCCCCAAAACATATACACATTTTAACAGCTGATAGCTCAATTTTGAACATGAAATGTATTTTAATAAACATTGCCTTTATAATTATTCAAAGTGTGTGTAAGTTTGGCTGTGTAAATTTAGTGGCTACAATAGTTTATCACAGATGTTTGTAATCTTTCCATTTATCTCTGCATGAATGGTTCTTTTTCCTGTTGAGTCTCAGTTCATGTCAGAGAGGCCTTCCTTGACTTCTCACACCCCCATCACCACAACCTGTTTTATTTTCTTCATAGCTCCTATCACAGTCTGAATTACTTTGTTCATTTATTGCTTGTTTACCCCTTACTACCAACACCCATTTGAAATGTAAGCACCATGGGAGAAGGGACGTTGTCTACCTTGTTCATTGCTGAATCCTCAGTGCCTAGTGTCAATAAATACCTGTTAAATGAATAAATGTTTGAAATATCCAACTTTATCTTGCTCACCACAGATATATAATCAAGCAGAAGACACTGTTTAAAAATAAGCCATTTATTATACAAAAGGAAACCTGAGGTAACAGAAAATAGCAATACTTGTAGTAATAAAAGTATCATTCCCATGCTTCACCCCCTCCAGCAGCATAAATAAAACTGATTCCTATTAGAAACGTCTACCGCTAATAACCCCAAGCCTGCTGCTGTATATAGAGCAGGCTGTGCCCCAAACCAGAGAAAATTCACATTGCTTGCTTTCTCCACAGGGAAAGTGAAGCCGTTAGTTGATAAGTGCCATGTGGCTATTCAGGTTCTGCTTTCCCTTATGGAAATGTAGCACCTAGTTTACTCTGCTCTTTTGTGAATATTTTTTATGGCAATAGGAATAAAGGAAAAAAGTCTGTAAGTACTGACCACAAAGCAGGCATGAGTCTCCAGCCACAATAATTCATAAACCAGCCCACTTTGTACATAAAAGTGCTAAAGGAGTGCCAATGTGAACTGTTGTGAATAGACAGGAAAGGTAAGGATGATTTCATGTAACTACGATCACTTACTCTTTTTACTGCCCATAATGAAATTTAAGTCCTAATTTTAGTTTGTACTTGGGTACTAGTATTGTGTTTTGTTTTTCATGTACAATAAGTGCCAACTAGTTGGAACAACTATTTTTGAATTTTAATGAAGTACCAGACAAGAAAGGCAGTTAATTTCTACCTAGTGATCTGATGTGGTCCTGGGAGCCACGCTACAGCGTGCATTGCTTTTACTGAACAAGGCTCTCAGTATTGTCTGACCACGTGCCTAGAAAAAAGCCATTGATTCAATTACGGGCTGCAGAAAGATATGGTTACAGAGTCGTTCTATAGCACTCAATTTCTAAACTATGGGGAGAGATTAGGAAAATAACGATGATTATTTAGCAGCAGGAAAATCAAAATGTTAATATGTGTGCACAGAGAATTCACATAAGCATGAAAGCCAATGATTTATTTTTAAAGAGACGTCTAATTGGGTGAAGCCAATTCTAGGAGCCTGGATATGAACAATAAATGTGTACTAAGGAGGTTATAGGTTTCTTACACAGTTGTCTAGGGAAAAACCCTAGGTCACTTTTCTGAATAGTGGCCCATTGTGGAAAAACAATAATATATATTGTAATTTCTTTAATGTCATCAGTTACGCTGGGCATCAAAAGATACTTTTTTATTGGCCATATATAATAAAATATACTGGATAATTCTGGAAGAGTAAACTTTTTTTAAACGTATGTATTGATGAGAAATTTGTTATTTCACTATTTTTTGGTCTCATTAGAGTTGTTTTTATTTGTTTTTTATTACCCCCTCCAACCTGCCCCTATAAGTCAGCATTTGTATTTGAACAAATTGCAAGCTTAGAAATCAATCCTGAATTTGACTTCAGTTGTGGATCCCTACTGTATCAAATTTTAACATAAGTATCTTTAAAAATTTCTTTACAATTTATTGATTTTGGAGACAAAGGGAGAGGGAGAGAGAGGAAGGAAAGAGAGAAACATTGATTTGTTGTTCCATTTATTTATGCATTCACTGATTGATTCCTATATGTGCCCTGACCGGGGATTGAACCCACACCTTGGTGTATTGGGACGATGCTCTAACCAACTGAGCTACCCAGCCAGGCTAACATAAGTATACTTGAAGATCTAGCTTTACCTCTTTTTCTTTTCTGCAAAAGAGCAAAAAGGTTAAGCAAACTTTCCAAGCTATTACAAAGGGTATTTTTTTTCTTAAAGAATAGAATGAAAAAAGAAGGACTCTGACAGTGAAGTCCAGCCTAAATAATAGCTTTCCTTAGCCACATCCTTAGATGTTACAATATTAAGTGTAGGACCTTCATTGTTGAGGCATCTACATATATTTGTATTATTAACTCTGGTAGTAAAAAAATTTATACACACAGTCATAATAATTTACCACCTGATATATTGATAAGCTATGGAACTTCTCTGGTGATAATTCATTAATACAACTTTACAACCAGGGTAGCTCTAAGGGCCAAGATATTCTTCCCTGTTTCTCTGCTCCAGAAAAAGCTAACGACCTCTCTGCCCATTAAGCTATCTATTCAGATCACAGCAATAGAAAGGTTTGGCTATACCCTCAACTGGACTCACAGCTTTTTTATTGTTGTTATTTTGTTTGGTTAATCCTCTCGCAAGGATATTTTCCACTGATTTTTAGAGAGAGTAGAAGGGAGGGAGAGAGACAGAGTCAGAGAGAAACATCGATGTGAGAGAGAAACATGGATTGGTTGCCTCCTGCACATGCCCGACCAGGGCCAGGGATCAAGCCTACAACCAAAGTACCTGCCCTTGACCAGAATCGAACCTGAGGCAGCCAATCAATGATTCTCTCTCCTCTCCCTTCCTCTCTGAAATCAATAAAAATAGCCTATATAATAAAAGGTTAATATGCAAATCGACCAAACAGTAGAATAACTGGTCGCTATGATGGGCACTGCCCCCTGGGGTCAGTGCACTCCCACAGGGGGAGCACCACTCCACCAGTGCACAACCCCCACTGGGGACGTGCCCACAACCAGAATCGAACCTGGGACCCCTCAGTCGGCAGGCCGACACTCCATCTACTGAGCCAAACTGGTTAGGGCTTAACTAACAGCTTTTTATTTAGCCAGCCACTTGTGGTGACTTACATCTCTTGCCTCACCTCTCATCTGCTCTATCCACTGAGCCAAACTAGCTAGAGCTTGACTAACAGCTTTTTAAAATATATATATATTTTTTTATTTTTTTTATTTTTTACAGAAAGGAAGAGAGAGGGATAGAGAGTTAGAAACACCGATCACCTGCCTCCTGCACAACCCCCACTGGGGACGTGCCCACAACCAGAATCGAACCTGGGACCCCTCAGTCGGCAGGCCGACACTCCATCTACTGAGCCAAACTGGTTAGGGCTTAACTAACAGGTGTTTATTTAGCCAGCCACTTGTGGAGACTTACCTCTCTTGCCTCACCTCTCAACTCCTTAGACTTGGGTGGGCTCCATCAAAATGTGGTCTCAGAAATACTATAAAGTTGTATAAAAGAATATCAGCAATAGAATGAGTGAAGCTAGAATATTCATCCCACTTAAGATGAAAAGTGCTACAGAATATAAACTATACTGCTGGGCTGTTTTTTCCACAATTTTCATGACTGGGGGAAATGGGACTTTTGTAATATATAAAAATAAAATAGAGGAAAGACTTCATTAGACATAAAAGAACAAATACATATAAAATTCTTCACTTTGATTCACACTGGCCTATTTTAACATTTCAAAATTTTATATATACTAGAGGCCTAGTGCATGACATTTGTGCACTGGAGAGGGAGGGGGTCCCTTCAGCCTAGACTGTGATTCACAGTCCAGGAGCCCTTGGGGGATGTCCAACTGACGGCTTAGGCTCGCTCCCCAAAACCGTAGTCTGACATCCTTAGCACTGCATCAGCCCAGTTTGTGACTGAGCAGCACTCCCCCTGTGGATAGTTCATGCATTGAGCGTCTGCCCCCAGTGGTCAGTGTGCATCATAGCAACTGGTCGTTCTGCCTTGGGCCAATTTGCATATTACCCCTTTATTATATAGGAAATATATATATATTACATATATATAAAGTTAAAACTGTCAAATCTATAGCCAATTTAATGCAGAGAAGAATGAATGTGGGAATGGTGGCAAGGCTGCTATATCTTCATCAGAAATTGTGGAGAACTAGGAAAGGAAAAAAATTTTAAAATAAAAAGACTAACATGAAATTCAAGGTAAATGATAAAAAAAAATACAACTCCAGAGAACTAGAATACAACCCACCAGGAGTTTTGCTTCACCACCAATATAACAGTTCATAAAGCAGAATATCTGGAAAAGAGGTTGGAAAAGGTACCAAATAATAAGGGGTTTGAGGAATAGCACATGAGAAATCTTACCTCATTTGTAGCCAACTACTAAGGTGTTGTTCCAATCATAATTGAAAGGATGAAATGGCTAGAGAAATAAGCAGTTCTTTAAAAATTCTGTTGGATCTGCACCTTGAATCAAATGGGTGTTTCAGGCTTCTCTTTTCCACTAAACTAAGAACTGGATGCCTTCATCTCTCCTTGAGGGGAAGCCCTATTACCACGGTCTGAGACCCTGGCTATACATCGTTAGGATAAAATATCAGTAGATACAACTAGAATCCCTTAAATTCAGGATAAGACAATGTTCATTAAGGGTTTGTGCAGCATGTCCTGTGGTAGAATGACTTCCATCTTCTTAGACCTACCAAGTTCAAAGCTCTCGCAGGGTAATTAGAGATTTTGGTTCCTTTTCAGGAAGATCTCATGTAGGTAATCCCAAAATTTCCTCTCTTGTGTCTCATTGTTGTGGATCATGGCAGTGAGAGCTTCCCCCTGGTCCAGACCTTGCCAATAGTCTTGCAGCCACATCTCCTTCCAGCTGAAATATCAAAATGAGGGTTGGATTATGGAACCTCAGCACAGCTATGGAGTCAACAAAACCTTAAGCAGATACAGTGGTCTCTGTCTAGCACAGGGCTCTGCTCCAGGGAAGGAATGTGAAGTAAATCCAGCACTAGTTCAGGTGACAGGTGGTAAGCCACAAACATGATTATGTCACACAGCCCAATCAATGAGCCAAACTTCCTAACTTTCCTGCTCCTGGTTCCCAATGTGGAGGGAGATCAAAAAGGCAAGCAAGGCAGGGGCCAGGTTAGGAAAGCAGTTGTTAGGAATTTAGATGGTTACCTTTCAAGTTGCACCTTTATCTCAATAATCAAAATGAAGGTGCAGCAGCATTCAGGACCCAGAATTAAGAGATATCCTGAATTTATTAAGTGTTTACATTGTTTTACACTTTTCCTCTAGTAAATCATATCATGTTC